AACTGTTACAATGGGATTCTGAATGCCCATGGAACAGTGATTTGTACAAAGAAATTAGATTTAATGCCTGGTCACATCTATATCTGTAAGATAAAAAAAACTTACGTTCCACTACAATATATTTGAGTGAGTATAGCCTATCTTTTGGGGTTTGCATTCTATGAATTGTCCTTCCCTGTCCCTAATGAATCCTTCAGTATATTCTTTCCTGCTAGGCCTGCACTTTGCCTCGGATTCTTTCTGGATATATTGCTATAGAGAGCCGCTACCAATAGCTGGCGATATTAATAGGACAGATAAAATGTGCATTCTTGTTTTGATTCTCCACATTTAGGTTTTACACATAATGTTAGAAACACTAGTTTCCAATACTTTTTTAATATGCTTTGATTTGATCTTTGTTATTAGTGATTCTTTTTTTTTCACGTTTGTACACTAGTGTTTTTGCCAAGCACAATCTCTGGCTTCCATTCATTTGAGAGCAACTGTGGTGATAGGCACTTAAAAGTATTCTGAACACATCTGACATACATGTATTATACTTAGGGGAGGAAACCCCTAAGAAGCAGCCACTTTCTGAATATGGTTTAGATCAGGGACCAGTAAATTTCTTTCTGTAAAGAGCTGGATAGAAGTTTCTCAGGCCAACAGCCTATGATACATCATTCAGGGCTGCCACTAGAGCCTCCAGAGGCCTCACATAACAAATGAGCACGTATGGTTCTAATTAAATTTTGTTTTAGCACTAAAATAAGATATTCATATAATTTATGTAATTTTCCCATCACTAAATATATTCTTTTTAAAATTTAATTTAAAATAATTCTTAGCTGGGAGGTAACAGGAACACAGGAGAGTTAGGCAAGATTGTGCACACAGGCGATAGTTTACCTTCTCTAGGCTCAGATCTGATGTTTTCAAAGTAAGACCTTCTAGTGGTCTACAAGCCTATTACCAATGTGAAAGACCTTTTCTTTTCTTTTTTTTTTTTGGGGGGGGTGGTAGTCGTGGGGCCTGAACTCTGGGCCTGGGCACTGTCCCTCAGCTCTTCAGCACAAGGCTAGCACTCTACCACTTGAGCCACAGTGCCACTTCCGGCTTTTTTCTTATGTGGTGCTGAGGAATCGAACCCAGGGCCTTGAACATGCAAGGCAAGTGCTCTATCACTGAGCCACCTTCCCAGCCCCGAGACCTTATTTTCTTTGTGCAATTTTTTTTGTTGTTGTTGTTGGCCATGGGGCTTGAACTCTGGGCCTGGGCGCTGTCCCTTAGCTCTTCGGCTCAAGGTAAGCCATGCTCTACCACTTGAGCCACAGTGCCACTTCCAGTTTTCTGATGGTTAATTGGAGATAAGAATCTCACAGTCATTTCTGTCCGGGCTGGCTTTGAACCACGATCCTCAGATCTCAGCCTCCTGAGTTACTAGGATTACAGGCATGAGCCTCTTTGGGCATTTCTAAACAATGAATCACAACAGTCCAAATGCAGAAGCAAAATATGAGGATCTAGACTATTTCTAGCCCAGAAACTGAAAAGATCTGTAAAAAATGTAAAACAGTCACCCTATTATTAACTTTCTTTCTTGGGGAAATACACAGCTACACTTTATATCTAATGCTGTTTATATAAATATGTAATAGGCTTAGTATTTTTAAATACTAATGTTTTTTTAATTACTCAGTTTTGATTTATAATATAATCAGTATTAATAAATATATACAATGTGAACAAAAGTTCTTTAGGGTACTCAGTACATTTTAATTACGTTAAGGGAGCATGAGTCCAGGAAGTTTGAGAACCAGCTGCTGAGTTAAATGACATTACTGCCAGCAAAGTTCACCAAGGCCTGCTCACCATTCACTATCTCTAACCTCCAGCTTGACCTCTTTTTTTCTCCCAAGAGCTGCCTGGCATTTCTTTGACTAGAAACTGATTTGATCAAATTTAATCCTATGCAATAATGTTCTTGCATAATGACATTAGTAAAAAACAAACAAACAAAAATCGGCATGGTCTTTTCACATGAGTGCCATTTAGCTATGCACAAACCATAAAGATATTTCAGCCTTTACTTTGCCAAAACAGGCAACTAGAATCAAGGAAGTATTTCTCCCTGCTTTCCATTTTCCATAAATTTCAAAAACAAAAGTTTATTCTACTTCCTTACTTCCAGAACATATCTCAAAACAGATCCATTAAATCATACCTATGATTCAGTGTACCTAAGATCTGGATCCATATATATTATGGGAGCCCAATGCTAAGCAGGACCCTCACAATAGTTTTTTCTAAGGAGTAAACTCTTCTACCCATGATGAACGTTTAATGCCAATGCTCACAACAATAATCAAGGATTTCATTTTGCAAATAAGGTATACACATCCTATAGTACATATTAGAGGAGCATTAATACTTTACTTTGTACTGTTATTTGAGATTTAAGAACTATCAAAAGATTTTAAGAGAAAGTTCTTTTAATTCCAATGTTACAATATATGGAAAAAGCATTCCTTTCAATGTACATTTATAATGTCATGCGATTTAAATGATATACACTGCTAGCCTAAGGAAACTTACACCCTGCCCATCTCTGTTTCTGACTCTCTCTCCTTCCTTACTTCTCTCCCTGGCTTTCTTCCTTTTACATTTTAGAGAAACAACCACTATTCTAACACCTTAACATTTTGTTGAATTACAAAGTTCTCAATTAGAAAATGTATCCCTAGGAATGTGTTACTCTAAAAGTATAACTTCTTTTATGAAATGATAATTTTGTGAGCAACAGAAAAGAAGGAAATTCATATTTTTTCAACCTGCATTGTAACAATATATTTTAAAACAGCAATTATAATTGGATGTTAGAGCACTGACTCCAAATTAGCAAAATAAAATGTATTCGGCTATTTTGACCAACATCAAAACTGAAATTGAGGCTGCAGTGTGGTTTAAGTGGCAGAGTGCTTGAGACACTAAGTTCAAGTCCCAGTATCATGGGAAAAAAAATCTTAAAGAAAGCCATGAGCAAATTTATATGTCCTGGGGATTTTTGCCCATTTGGGGGAGTAGCTCAAATTACATGAAGAAGATTTTGGTAGCCAAGATGTTCAATGAAGAGCAAAAAAGACTTAGAAGACAAGGGAAATGCTTACTGTTTAAATCTACAGTAAAAGTCAGTCTCATCATGATTGCAAAACATTCCAAATTGTGAAACTTAAGTTACTTGTAAAATAGACAAAAGTAAAGTAGCTTCCTCAGTCATTTTTTGAGATCTCAGCATTAATTTAAAGAAAATGCTTATATATATTTTAAAAGGCCTATTTCAAAATTTCAAAATAGTTACCTCTTCACTAAGCACATATAAGGAAATGCCATTTATGTATCATATCATGTAGCATTGCTACTCCTTGTGGGGGGGGGAAAAGTGTAAAACAAAGTTATTTGCTTCATTATCCAGCTCTTTAAAGAAGAAAAGAATCACAGTCCTAAAAATTAATAAAGACCATAGAACCTATAAATAGATGCTAATGTAAAAACACAACCTATATAACATGATTATTTAAGGAAAGGACATAGGTACTTTCATGTGCAGAAAGGATATATTATTTCTGGCAAATTCTGTCTCCAAACAGGTTTTATCTGTATAATAAATTATCTTCATTACTAGCACTTTAAAATAAAAAATTAAGTTCATTAAAAAAGCTCAGTGACTGTCCATAAAGAAAATGCAAATCAAAATGACTTAAGATTTCATCTCACTCTAGTTAGAATGGCCGTCATCAAGAACACAAATACAGGAGGAAAAGGAACCCTCATACATTGTTGGTAAGAACATAAACTAATCCAACCACTATAGAAATTATAGAAATCAGTAAATAGATAACAGGAAATATTTGGGGTACATACAACATGTAACAGGGTAATAACAAACCTTTATAACAGATAATGAAGAGATTATTAAAAAAAAACTACTAAGATCAAGTTAAAAAGTGTCAGGAGAAATGAGGGAAGGGGTAACAAGTTCAACAAGAAATGTGCTTAGTACCTTACTTATGTAACTGTAACCCCTCTGTACATCACCTTGACAATACAAAAAGAAGGGGGAAAAAAAAACTCATCCAGACACTGGTGGCTTATGCCTATAATTTTAGCTACTCATGAAGCTAAGATCTGATGATTGTGGTTCAAAGCCAGTTTCAGTTGGAAAGTCCATGCGATTGTTATTCCTAATTAACCAGCAAAAAGCTGTAAGTAGAGCTGTGGCTCAAGTGATAGAGTGCTAGCCTTTAGCAAAAAAAAAAAAAAAAAAGGCAAAGAAAAGCCCAAGGATGGTGTCCAGGTTCTAAGTTCTGGTGCACACCTGCCCATGTGCATGTGCATATGCATGTGCACGCGCACACAAACACACACACACTCAAGTTCAGTGTAATAGTCTACTAAGCATCAAGTTATGTGGAATTTATTCCACTAAAAGGATAAAACAGTGGAGGGGATTTGGCTCCATAATTGAGAAGAAAAGTCTTCTGAGAAACCATCACCAGTATTACTTCAAAGCAGTAAGATTAGGGTCCAACTTAAATTATTTTAAAGCTTCTAAGAAACCATCACCAAAGATTAGAATCCAACTAAAGTTATTTTAAAGGTTGGCACAGCAGTTTAAAATTTGAAAAACCCCATCATTAACTTTAACGAAATGGCTTTCAGTTTTATTTTGTTTTCCCAAGTCCCCTCCCAGCAGTGGGATGAGATGATACATGGAACTTCATTTCAGCTGCTGGGGAATTCTCTTAGCACTTTGTGGAAACTGTTGGCTCTCACAAATGGAAAGGCAGATTAGAACTAAAAGTTAAAAAAAAAATACAGAATTGCAACAATAAAAAGCAACTTAGGTAGAAAATCAAGCCAGGCAGATAAGCAACCTTGACACAATTAGTTCTGTTGGATTGTTCATTAAGTCACCTCTTTTCAAAAAGCCAAACCAAAGCAAAGCATGGCAAACTTACATTGCTTCTTTAGTTCTTTCAGCTGTTGCTTAAACTGTACAAATTTTTCATTTTTCTGAAAGTCTGCATCAGAATTCTTATTCTGTAAAGCCAAAAATTTCTTCTCCACCAATAATTTTAAATCTGGTATATTTTCTGGACGTTCTTCTTTTACCTAAAGAAGGCAACAAAATCATCTCAGTTCTGATAATGAGTGCTAACAAATTTTTATGAAATTGTTTATATCTCATATAATTCAGAGAAAAAGGACAACGAAATAGAAACCAGAATTCTCTGAACAGGTGACAAGATGCTGGCACACGGTGGAGGGAATCATTTATCCTATCTGATGATCCTAGTTTCCTTTCTTACATAGTTTTCCATGTTCCTACTACCGTGCTCTTCCCCTGTTCCGAGGCATATATCAAAAGGAGCAACCTCAGCAGAGCCTGTGCATCCCCACACGTCCTTTACCAGGTCTGTGAAGTTGCTTTCCTACAAAGAGTCCTTATTCTCCATGCTCCTCTTCTGGCCCATAGTCCAGTGGCTCCTACTTTAACACAATGTGAAAAGAGGTTTTACCCTTGATCTCTCATAATGTCCTACCATAACAGAGAGTAAACGTCCCAGATTGTTCTATTCTGCTCAACTCTCAATCTATGTTTCTTTCCTCAGTAATACTGGAAAAATTTTAAACATATAGGAAAAAAATAAAAGGAAATGTATTATGAAGGTATTTGACATACTTCCTTGATGCCAAAATTAACGTTTTCTAGTTAGAATTATATTCCCTCCTTCCTTTCATCCCTCCTTCTCCCCTCTCTTTTCTTCCCTCTCCTCTGTCCATCTTAGAGTTTTGTCTTTAAATTTGTCTTAATTACATCTTTGTCTCCTTTAGAATAAACATTCTGTCTACAGGCTCTTTCCCCAGGAATATTTACACTGGTTCTTTACTCTTGTATTTAAACAACACATAACCTTTTATAATCCCTATTCCCTGCCCCCAGTTACTTCCTGTTTGTGTTCCAGATCCTTGAGAGGAGCCCTTATTTTCCAGTTCCTCATCCTCAGCCTGTAGCCATTACAATTGGCCTCAGTGAATCACAGTAAAATTGCCCCTCTTTTCTTTGCTCACCATTGTGCTCTGATATGCCTTAGACTTCTACTACAGCCCTAGTCACATTCAACTGACCTTATTCCTTCTACTTGACACACAAGTAGCAGCACTGAATTTATGTATTTCAAACTAATCTTTTTAGCACCAAATACACTTAACCCAGTAACAACAACATTTTATTGACTGATATTACTAAAACTATATAACTTCTGGACTAGGAAATAACTGAGAGATCATCTAAACTTCCTCTCCTTTCTCAGTGTAAAAAATAAGTAAAATACTATAGAAAAATGTTAAATAATTATTTTCTATTATTCAATTAGAGAAAATGCTAAGACAGATACAGTAAATTCCTGGTTTTAGTTTATGACACTAGGATATAGTCCTATAGTCCTCCAACTCTATCAATGTACACAAAATTAAAAGATTATCCTCAATTTACAGTTTTTGTCTTTTTTTCCCCCAGGTCCTGGGGGGCTTAAAGTCAGGGCCTGAGTGCTATCTCTAAACTTTTTTGCACAAGTATAGAGCTCTATCACTTGAGCCATAGCTCCACTTCCAGCTTTTTTGGGGGTGATTGATTGGAGATAAGGGTCACATGATCTTTCCTGCCTGGGCTGGCTTTGAACCACCATTTTCAGATCTCAGTTTCCTTATTAGCTAGGATTACAGGTGTGAGCTACTAGAACCTGGCAACTTATCTGTTTTTGATTACCTTTTGTCAGGGGAAAATTATAATCTTTTTGCTTAATTGCTATGCATTTATGTGCATATGCGCATGTGTATGTATGCATGTATATGTGTACTGATGCTATAGTAGCTGAGCATGTGTGTATATTCTAGTACAAAGATGTTAAAGATGGCCCTCTTTGCTCATAACAAATTTCAAATACTTGAAAAACATCTGAGAAAGAAGGATAGCATCTAGTCCTTCTCTATCCACAGACCACATGCCTAGATGCAAGACTTGAACCCCGGCAAATAATGCATACTACATGTATCAGTTTGATAGACTCTATAACAAAGCACTACAGATTAGGTGGATCAAGTACAGAAACTTAGTCTCTCATAGCTCTGGCAGCAAGAAGTTCAAGATCTGGGTGTCAGTAAGGTTGATTCCTTGGGAGGACTCTTGTTTCGGCCTGTAAATAGCTGTCCCTTTGCCATGCGCCTGGTCTTCCCACTGCATGTGTCTGTGATCTCATCTCCTTTTCAAGGAACACCAGTCATATGGGATTAAGGTCTATTTGATGAACTTATTTCATTTTTATTGCCCCTTTCAAGATACTATCTCCAACTACAGCCACATTCTGAAGTACTGGGCATCAAGACTTCAATGTAAGAATTTTGGAGAAACACAATTCAGTTCGTACACTGGGTTAATGAAGACCAGAATTTTTTTAAGTTTTGCAAATTGTTACTATAAAGGTGAGGTAAACAGAAGTTAGTTACATAAGTCAGGTAATGAATGCATTTCTTTTTGGACAGTGTCACCTTTCCCTCACTCTCTCCCAGTTTTTCCTATCTGTCCTTACCCACAAGTTGTATAGTTCATTTTCAACAGAATGTCTAGTGAGTACCACTGCTACATTTGTTCATCTGTAGTCCCTCCATTTCTGTGCCTCCCCCTTACCCTCCCAAAGACCGCTCAACAAACAAACAAGAAGAAAAGAAAACAAAAATAGCAACAAAGAAAAAAATCTCATTTACGCTTCCTGGAGTTTACTTTGATGACTATTATTTTATTTTTATTTTTAAATTTTTATTTATTTATTTTTTGTCAGTTTTAGGGCCTGACCTCTGGGCCTGGGCACTGTGCCTCAGCTCTTCAGCTCAAGGCTAGCATTCCACTACTTGAGCCACAGCACCACTTCTGGCTCTTTCTGCTTATGTGATGCTGAGGGATTGAACCCAGGGCCTCATGCATACAAGGCAAGCACTCTACCAGGCAAGCCACCCTCCCAGCCTGATAAATATTATTTCATATGATCAGATGCACATAGGCATTGTACCTTCATATTCCTCTCCTAAGAGTACCCTCCTTTGGGAAGACCAGAATTTTTAAAGGAGCTATAGGTTATTCATCTTTACAATATTTAATTTAAAATGAGAAAAGCTATAGAGAAGTAAACAGTACACTATACTTACATAATGAAAACCTACAGTTCTGCCCTCTGATGAGAAAAGAGCAGGGATTTCTGCTTCAGTATTCACTGAAGGTTCCATACATGCAAAGCCTTGTGGATGGAAGGACAGAAGTGAGCTGGGAGCAGAAGTTGAGCATATTGTGGAACCCAAAGTGACTTAACAGCAGTGGAAAAAGACAACAAAAGATTAAGTTGGAAACAGTGACCATTTCAGCTGTGTAGAAGATGCCCCATAAAGGGAGAGAAAGCTTTGCTCTAAGGTCACTACTGGTAATGGGAGTGACTGCCTACTTGGTCAGGTGGAGGCTTTTTCTGAAGCAAAAATCAGCGGTTCTGATGAGCAAAGTTCAGGAATTAATAATGCCTGTGAGATATTAATGTGGTGAACCAGTCCAGTACCATTTTATTTTTCTTTTTTTCCTGATGCCATTTTCTTAAGGAAAGCTATAGGCATTATGGCTTCAATGCAACATCTAAGTACACAGCTAGAAAGGCATGTCAGGAAGAAAGAAGCCAAAGGAACTCCACACAAGAATAGAAAATCAGAAGTGAGAAATGGTACAGAGAAAAAAGGAAGTTTTTCTGAAGAAAGGTGTTTGTCTTTGGGGAAAAAATGATGTAAGAAAGCACAAGTAGAAGAAAAGTCAAAGAGAGCACTGCATCTAATCATCAGGCACTTAACACACTTCACTGTACATATTTGCTTATCTGACCTACACTCCCAGGAAGCTACTCTCATGTGAGGATTATTTCCCCAGTGTCTGGTATATCAGTTGCACACCAGGTGCTCAAATGATGTCAGGGCACAAGTGAATTACAGAAAAGTCAATTTATACTCTGGTGGTCTGACAGAAGGGAATAACAGAATTCTGCGAAAAATGAATAAAATTTGGAGGTAAAAGAATAGAGAAACTGGACATTGGTAGCTCATACCTGTAATTCCCTTAGAAGGCTGAGATATGAGCTAGACTGAGAAGGGAAAGCCTGTGAAACTTATCACCAATTAACCACCAAAAAGCCAGAAGTGGAGATGTGGCTCAAGTGGTAGAGTACCATCCTTGAGTGATAAAGTTTAGGGGCCCTTATTTCAAGACTCATTACTGACACAAAAAGCAAGGGGGAGCTAGAAAACAGATCATGGGAAAGGGAGAGTTAAAGAGTTGTGTTTAGCTGGGCACTGGTGACTTATGCCTCAGGAGGCTGAGATCTAAAGACTGCAGTTTGAAGTCAGCCCAGGCAAGAAAATCCACAAGACCCCGATTTCCAAATAGTCACCAGAAAACTGGAAGTGGCACTGTGACTCAATGTGGTAGACCACTAGCATTGAGCAAAAAGGTCAGGAACCATACCTAGTCTGAGTTCAAGCTCCACTACCAACAGAGAAAGAAAAAAAGTGGGGGGGGGAGAGAAAAAGAGTTGTTTATTTGCCTTTTTTGGGGGGGGTCCGGTTGTGGGGCCTGAACTCTGGGCCTGGGCACTGTCCCTCAGCTCTTCAGCTCAAGGCTAGTGCTCTACCACTTGAGCCACAGCGCCACTTCTGGCTTTTTTCTTTTTGCTTATGTGGTGCTGAGGAAATCAAACCCAGGGCCTCATGCATGCAAGGCAAGCGCTCTACCACTGAGCCACCTTCCCAGCCCCCAAGAGTTGTTTATTTGCATAGCGGAAAATAGTAGTTTGAAGTCAAGCTGATAGGATAGAGAAGCACAACCTGCGGGAGCAGGGACCTGGGTCCATTCTGGGTTGTGGATCTTGGGGCAGTCCTACCAGAACTCCTGCAAACAAGTATATTATAACTGGCATGTAGTAGTTTCAAGAACTTTAACATGTTTGTGGATAGAGAGAACCAATGAGGAAACAAATCAGAACCACTAATAGAAAGCAAGAAACAGATTTCATGTGGGAAAATCAAGT